TGCCCAGGACCACCAGCATGGAGCATTGATGGTGCCCAGGACCAGCATGGTGCCAGGAGCCCCGGCACGGGGCATTGGTGGTGCCCAGGACCACCAGCATGGAGCATTGATGGTGCCCAGGACCAGCATGGTGCCAGGAGCCCCGGCACGGGGCATTGGTGGTGCCCAGGACCACCAGCATGGAGCATTGATGGTGCCCAAGACCACCAGTATGAGGCAGAGATGGGCATAGGACCCCCAACATGGGGTAGGGATGGTGTCCAGGACCCCTGGCATGGGGCAGGGACCACACCAAGACCCTCTGGCACAGGGCAGAGACCACCAGGACCCCCAGCACAGGCTGGGGACAACTCCAGGACCTCTGGCACCAGGCACGGGCAATGCCAAGACCCCAAACATGGGGCGGTGACTTCCTCAGGACCCCCAGCTCAGGTTGGGGACAACTCCATGACCCCCAGCAGAGAATGGGGACAACTCCAGGACCTCCAGCACAGGATGGGGACAGCTCCATGACCCCCAGCGCAGGTTAGGGACAACCACAGGACCTCTGGCACTGGGCACGGACAACGCCAAGACCCCAAACATGGAGCAGGAACTTCCCCAAGACCCCCAGCTCAGGTTGGAGACAACTCCAGGACCTCCAGCACAGGATGGGGACAACTCCATGACCCCCGGCACAGGATGGAGACAACTCCAAGACCTCCAGGCCATGGCCAACGCCAAGAACCCCCCTTCGCCGCGTTCCCCCAACTGACCGTGACGTGCTCGAAGTCCTGTCCCAGCTCCGGCGAGCCGGCCACCACCTCCTTCTCGGCGATCCAGTGCTCCAGCTCGTCCACCTCGCGGTTGAGCTGGTAGAGCCAATACTGCTGCTCCAGCTTGGCCTTGCGTTCCTCCACCAGGTCCTTCAGAGACACGTACAGCCGGTCAACCTGCGACTGCCGCCTGCTGACCTGTTCGCTGGGCAAGGGACACAGCGCCCGGTGAACGCCGAAGACCCCGGCTTTCGGACTGGGAAAGGTGGGGGGATGGGCGATGGAAGGGTTGCCCCCAACCTTTGAGGATGGCCAAGCTCCAGTAGGGCGCGGCATTGGCGGGAGAGCTGGGCGATGGTCTCCTCGTAGTTCTCCACCGTTTGCTCCGTCAGGAGGTGCTTCTTGAGGAGCTGTAGGGTGCTCTGCTC